GGCAGGAGCAGCCCAGAGGAGGCAGCTCATGGCCATCAATCATCATTATCACTCTTACAACAACCCTTACTCCATCATCTAGAGGAAAAGGGCTGTATGTTTTGTATCATCTGACTGACAGATTCATTTAATACAACTGTCTAAACAAGACTAAAAGGAAAACGCTCATTTTCTTTTAACAGAATCAGAAAAACCACAGACTTCTCAAGTTTGAAATGAAGTGAACTGCTGATTTTAATATTAAAATTTGGACTTAAGAGTGCCAAGAGCTGGGTAGGGCTGGCATCTGGTGTGATACTGAGTGGTCCCCAGTGGATCTGCCCAGGGGTTGTAGTGATGTGGCAGGAGTTTCTGACTTTATTCTCACACAACCAGCTACCCTTGACTTCTCACACCCAGCATTTGCACATCAATAGTGGTTAAGGGAAGCAGAGTGACCTAAATTAGACACACCCAGGCCAGCACAACAAAGGACAGGAAATAGAACAGTTAGGAAGAAAGGGGGAGATTACAAGTGATACAATGAGTTCTTCATGACCCAAGATTAAATTTTCTCAGCAACTTTTATTCCAAGGAATCAGGTAGAAGTCTTCAAAACAAGTGGAGGTTCCACTTGAGAACAGTGAACGTGCAAAACCAGGGCACAGAGAGGGTAGAGCTGTGTTCAAAGCCACAGAGAAAGACATATTTGGGTGGGTGTTACATTGGATGGGATCCACTTGGTAATTTCAGTAACTCACTCATTGGAGGATAATTAGTCTGGGTTGTTGGAGAGATTTATCACAGGTTCCTGGGTAACTCACAGAACCCCCAGGAGGGTCAGAGAATCATGCCACAAGGCCACACATCCAACAGTGTCCACTTCAAAAGCGAAAAGTCCCTTTTGAACCTTCAAGGAAATAAAGTAGATTGAACTTTGAAGGCAGGCAATGCGACCTTCTAAAACATTGCCAATATAAACAAATTCTTCCAGGGAAATTAGCCCAGACACCCGAGCCTCGGGTTGCCCTCCTTGTGGGAACTCTGAGTAACACGCTCTCTCTCAGATGGCAATCTGCTCTAGATTTTCATGACTCAAGTTTTCCATTCATACACTGTGTTTTCAAACACCTGCAGCTTGAATTCTGGATGGAGAGATGAGTCATGCATATATGAAGATAACTAAGAATAATGGGAAATGAGGACTTTGCTGGTGGTCCAATGGTTAAGAATCCAAGTTCCAAAGCAGGGGATTTGTGTTCGATCCCTGGTAGAGGAACTAAGATCCCACATGCTGTGGGGCAACCAAACCAGCACATCCCAACTAGACAAAGCCTGTGCACTGCAACGAAAACTCAGTACAGAAAAAAAAAAAGTACAAGGAAATGGCCTAAGATTCAAACAAACAGTTCAGAGAACCAGAGCTAAAGGGACTTGGTAGGTGTGTGACATCACCGTATCTGGGGATGAGGGATGCAGCTTCGGGGTGCAGGCAAACCTAAACAGGGCTGGAAGGGAGCATGAGATGGGCAACAAGGTCCACAGTTCCCAGCACTTACTCTTGGCTGGGTGCTGTTCCACAGGCTCCGCATGAAGTGAAATTGGACCCCCAACACCATGTACGAGGTTTCTCCTCAGGAGGCAGCGCCTGGTGGTGGGGAAGAGCACAGCCACAAGAGTCACGTGCCCATCACGAGCGGCTTCGTAGCTTCCTTGGTCCTTCCATGTCTCATCCGGGAAACGGCAATAACTGCAGTACCCTTGTCAGGAGGCAGGCATGCTGATTAAACATGTAACATCCCAGGCCATTTGGAATGGTGTCTAGTTCTTAGCAAGAATTTTATAAATGTTTATTATTATTTCATTTCATGAATGAGGTGATTGAGGCAAAAATAGGCTTGAGTCACCGACCCCAAATCACTCAGTGTTAGAACTGGATGGGAAGCCCATTCCACCATGGAGCTGATCTAATAAACCAGCAGAGAAGGATGCAGTCATTTGTGTTTACTCAGATCACTGTGGGCTTCCCAGGTGGTGTTAAAGGTGAAGAACCTGTGTGCCAATGCAGAAGTAAGAGACATGGGTTCAGTCCCTCGGTTGGGAAGATCCCCTGGAGGAGGGCACGGCAGCTCATTCCAGTTTGCCAGGAGAATCCCATAAACAGAAGAGCCTGGAGGGCTACAGTCCATGGGGTCACAAAGAGACGGACATGACTGAAGCGACTTAGCACGCGCACATATCGCTGTACAATTTTTCTCTTAGGCTCCCTCACACAATACTCCCCAGGATACATATTTGTTAAGTAATGAAGGAGCGATATCATCCCAAAGGAAAAAGAGTGGCTCAGCCCTGAGGCACCAGGATGCTCACAGAGTCTTCAGGAGAGCAAAGCACTGTGGCTAGGTGAGTGAGTTGAGGGAGGTAAGGCTGCAGGACATGAAGCTGCCTGTGGGCTGGGGATGCCTGTGGACCACCAACCTTGGTGAGGCATCTGCTAACCTGGTCATGGGGTGGAGAGTGCATGGATGGGCAGAGACTGGAGCCTGAATAGGCTCTCAGATATGGAGCTATGTAGTGTCACTGGACGGAGAAGGCAATGGCACACCACTCTAGTACTCTTGCCTGGAAAATCCCATGGATGGAGGAGCCTGGTAGGCTGCGGTCCATGGGGTCGCTAAGAGTCGGACACAACTGAGCAACTTCGCTTTCACTTTTCACTTTCACACATTGGAGAAGGAAATGGCAACCCACTCCAGTGTTCTTGCCTGGAGATCCCAGGGATGGGGGAGCCTGGTGGGCTGCCATCTATGGGATCACACAGAGTCAGACATGACTGAAGTGACTTAGCAGCAGCAGTGTCACTGGAAACAGTCATGGCAGGCAAGCGGCTTCCTGAAGACAGAAGTCAGAAGTGACAGCATTCAGTTATCAATGAGAACCCGAAGAAGCCAAAGCAAGAAGAGTCTAAGTGTTAATTCATAAGAAACAGAACTTCTCTTCCCTTCCATTTTTTTTCCACATCATAATTTAAGCTTAACAATGGCTTCATTTCAAGATGAAAGCATATTGCTTTAAAGAAATTCACATCCTTACTAGGCTGTGGTTCTAAACTAAAGACTCATAAGGAACACAGTTTTCTTTCATTCTTAAGCTTGCTGTAACAAACACAAACTGATTAAGTCATCAGAATTTGCAAAAGGAAATTTTTGGCATACATGGCCAAAGTGCAATCATCTCGAGTTTACATGTTCATATTTTGGAACTAGAAGTAAACTTAGAGAGAACAGCTAATCCAACACTTCTTCCCATCAAAGCCAAGAACAGGGGAGGGTTGCGTCACTTGTTTGGCAGAAAAAAAGAGAAGCAGATTCCCAACTAACTGCTCATCAATCTTTTCGACAACTTCTGTCTTTTTAGCAGAAAAAAGAAAGATTAAAAGAAAGTATAAGATTCAAGAAACACTGAAGGATGGTGACCAGCAGGGAGTCATGAGGAGATGAAATTGATGCTGGTGATGGTGGCGATTTCTTTATTCCCCCACATTTATTTACTGGATGCCTCCAGTGTCCAGACACGGTTCCAGAAGTGGGTACCAGTGATGAGCAAAGCATCCAAAGCCTTGGTTCTCATGAAACTTATTTTCCGGTGGAGGAGATGGCTTTCCTAGTCATATACACACATATGTGAGCACCCACAAAATAAAAATTTCAAGCAGTAAGTGCTAAGAAGTGCAGCTATGTTGAGAAGTGTCATGAATATCACAGTGATGGTGATGATGATAATGACAGGCTGATGACGTTGAGAGAAGATCCTAAGGCACCACCACTTCTGCATAGAGTGCTCTCCTTGCTGCTGTGGCTACACCGCTAAGAGTGCCCTCTTGGCCCCTGGGTCACCCTGAACGGCAGGGGGCCTGGGCGGTGCTAAGAGTCTCACATGGAATGACTTCTCTCATGTTCTTACTTATGTTGCTGAGGCCTCAGTGTTCCCCTTGGTGTGGAACAGCTTCACGATGCAGAATGAGCTGAGGCTGAGTGTGCCAAGGCAAGATTCCTGCAGAGTGTGGTTCTTCCATGCAGAAAATTCTGTGATCCCATGACTGGGAGAGAAACCACTGTGGCAATTTTAAAACATTGACCCAGTGTGTTTCAACAGTTCTCCCACTGAGAGGAGAGGGTCACCTCATGAACCCGGGCTCTGTAAGACTTCTTGACCAGTGAAGGATCTCCAAGGTCATGTTGACACAGTTTCTAGGCCCAGCTCTTAAGAGTTTTCTGTTCCTGGAGCTGAACCATCATGATGAAAGGGGTCAGTGCCATCTGAAGGGAACCATCTGAGATTTTTCTGGCCGGTGCTCAGCCAGTAACACCCACCCACCATGTGGAGGGAGTGCACCCTCAGAGGATGCCTTCAGGCCTCAATCACTCAGCCTTAGCCCCGAGGAGCAGATCTAGGGAGATTCCCTAAAGGCTTTGGGGGTGAAATTAGCCCTGTATTTGAATGTGTTGAAGCCTTAGGCAAGAATGATGTCTTCTCTGGGAGAAGGAAATCTTTATGTATTCATTCACTCATTCCTTCATTTCTGTTTATGTCATTTCTACCTTCCTGGGCGAATTCCTTGTGAGCAAGAGTGCTTTTTGTTCTTATGTGACTCTGCAGTCTCTGGTCCCCACCCCATGGTCTAACACCCACATGACACATAGAGATCTCTGTAGAGAGGGTTTGACCCCTCTGCACAGGAATTCACATGTTCTTTTGCTCCCCCCTGCAGCCGCCTCACCCTGCCCTGGGCACTCTCAGCCCACAGGGCCCACCCCCAACCTCAGGCTCTCTCATCCTCAAGGTCCCCTTCTGCCCCTCCTTGAATGGGACAGACCAGCATGTCCTTCCAGAAAGGGAGCCAAGGACATTATCAATGCAGATCGTCGGGGAAAGTCACTTGACTCATGGTGTGTGGCTTAGCAAAGCTGCTTTCCTGAAAGGGCTGGAAATCACCTTTCTTGGAGGGAGCAGGGGCAGCCATGGTGGCTGAGGCCAGGCAGGAGGAGCAGCTGGGGGGACACAGCCTGGATGCGGCAGGCTTCCTCCAAGAGAAAGGCCCTGGCCACCTTGATGGGGGAGGCCTCCTGTGTGTCCTCAGGCTCTGCCCACGGTGCCCTTCAGTCTAAGCAAACAGAAGGGTGTGGTGGAGGCCCAAGGCCCCAAGCACCCCTGGCCTACAGGGTCGCATGAACTCGGGCCCATGTGCTCCCCCAGAACCATTAACCCAGGCCTGCTTCAGAGAAGATCCAGACCAGCCTCCAGGAGCTCTTCAGAGTAGCTGTCCTCTCGGCCTTTCTCTCTGGGGGCTCAGGTACCCTCCCTTTCAGGACTCAGCTGCCCTGGTCCCTGCAACACCCCTCCCACCAGATGCAGGGCTTGGGGACTGCAGCTGAGTTTTCTGGGCCTTCTTCCTGTGGGAAGACCTCTCTATCCTCCAAAATGCCACTAGTGCCACCTGGAAAGCCCTACTGGAATGGGTAATGATTCCCTTCTCCAAAGGATCTTCCCAACCCAGGGACTGAACTTGGGTCTCTTGCATTGCAGCGATTTCTGTACCATATGGGCCACCAAGGAAGCCCCCAAAATGTCACAGAGGCCCCTCCAATTTGAGCCTGAAAAGATGCACATAAGATAGGTTTCTGCCCCCAATCCCAGTTGGTGACCTTCTATACACAAAGTGTTCTTTAAAAGAGCACAAAATAGGGACTTCCCTGGTCGTCCAGTGGTTAGGACTCAGTGCTCTCAATGCTGGGGCCCCAGGTTTGATTCCTGGTGAGGGAACTAAGACCTCACAAGCCACAGAGTAAAAAAAAAAAAAAATTATACAAGAACTAACCGGGGACAGGCATCAAGACACCTGCTAATGGTTTTGGGCAGCGGGGATGGGGGAGGAATCACAAAATATGGTTCTTTCTGAAAAGTTCCAGTAAATCCCTGAATACTTCCCATAGCAGCCACTCCAGAATCAGAGGGAAGCAATGAAGCCCTAACAGTTTATTTTAGGCACCGTGATTTCTGAAGTTGTGCACTCAGGCATGGACTGGTCCTGCACTTGTGCTGGGGCATCACCTAGCTGGCGAACCCACTCAGGAGGGACTGAGTCTCGGGCCACCCAATTCCCCACGATAGCAAACCCAACACAGGAAAGGATTTGAATTCTTCCAAGAATCAGCCAGGTCCCCAAGCATTGCAGCCATTCCTGAACCCAGGACAGAAGGTACTCTCGGTGGCCACTGCTCTGCAAGCCTCCAGGTGGCTCCTATCAGCCTTTTTTTTTTTTAAATTATGGTAAAATACACATAATGTAAAACTTACCATCTTAACCCTTTTTAAGTGTGCGGTTCAGTGGTGTTAAGTACATGTGCAACCATCACCACCATCCATCCTCAGAACTCTTTTTCATCTTATAAAACTGGAATTCTGTCCCAACTTAACAAAAACTCCCCTTCTTCCCTCCCTGGCCCCTGGCAACCACCCTTCTTTCTGTCTCTGTGAATTTGACTCATCTAGGGACCCCAGATAAGTGGATTCATATAATGTGTGTCCTTTAGTGACTGGCTTCTTTCTCTTAGCATAAAATCCTCAAGGTTCATTCATGTTGTAGTAGGTGCCAGAATTTCCCTTTCTTTTCAGGCTGAAGAGTATTCCATCATATGGATAGACCACATTTTGCTTGTCCATTAATCCATTGATGGACACTTGCGTTTCTACCATCTTTTGGCTCTTGTGAATAATGCTTCTATGAACATGGGTGTAGAAACATCTCAGACACTGATTTCAATTCTTTTGGGCTTGTACCCAGAAATACTGGATCATATGGTAATTCTACGTTTAATTTTCTGAGGACTCACTATACTGTTGTCAATAGCAGCTGCACCCTTTTACATTCCCACCAACAAAGAATCAGTGTCCCAATATCTCCACATGATGCCATCATGTTCTTTTCTTTTCTTCTTTTTTATAGTGGTCATCCTCATCCTCATTTGTGAGAGGGTTCCATAAGTCTCCTTTTAACCATGAAACATTTAAATTATATCAAATACTGACATGAACTTCCCAGGGTTAAACTAAGAAAACTACATCTGCTCAACAGTTAGCAGTTTACAGAGTTCTTTAAGATACACTACCTGATTTTATCTTTACAATACTGTAAAAAAGATTTTGTGGTTATCGCACTTTACAGATGAGGAAATTAAGACTTACTGAAGGAAACTATGGTGGGTAACGTGGCTGAGATTCAAACCCTTTTTCCTTCATGCTTCTAACAAAAGAATGTTGTTGCTATTTTGACAGATTTGAGGTCACTCTCAGTTGGCAGGGGGCTTCATGTTAATAATTGTGGTAACAAAATTAATAGCACCTAAAATTGAAGAAACACCTTCTAAGTGCAGAGAAAAAACAGTAAGATCTACATATACTTCAGGGTGTCCAAAAATTCAAAATAAATGTTGATACAGGATTGGATCTCCCCCTCTTGCAGGATCAAAAATGTTGTATTTAGATTTTAGTCTGTTAATACTATAGTAATACCGGCTACTAATACAGGTAATGATATCAACAGTAGAATGGCAGTAATTAAGACTGGTCATACTGTTTGGATCTCGCCACAACTGAAGGTCAGCTTCAGAGACCTTCAATCTTCAAGCCCTGCTTCTGTCCCACCTGTGAGCTCACTCCATCTTCATATCCTTGCCAGTGGCCCTTCCCTGGACCTGGAAGACAGCTGCACAGTAGCTGAGTGTTCAGGCCTCAAGGAGGCAGAGGGCTGGAGTCCAGCTCTGACTCACCCACCGTGTGCCCTGGACATGATCTCGAGTACTGGGCTCGTCTGTCCCCTCAGCAGTGAAGCCGGGGCAGGAAAGGGTCCCGTGAGGGACCTGTGAGTGAAGTGGGCCTGCTATCTTGCACCTGAAGGTGGTGGGCACTCTCCACCCACCCCTCCTCCACAGTGCCCCTCCCCGGGACCACCCAGCACCACTCTCCAGCAGAAGTCACACACTTGGATGGATCTGGGTCCCTGCTCTAACAAGCCTGGGCCTGGAGGCGAGCCCCCTCTCAGCCTCCACCCATCTGGCAAGAGCCCACTGTCCTCTGTACACCCACCCTTCCCTCCACGTGGAGATCACTTGGGCCTCCCAGCCACTCACAGCAAGGCCTCTGCTACTCACGCCTCTGGCTCTGCCCCCAAGACATGGTGCCCGGCAGCAGAAAACGGGTCCACTCGTTCAGCAGCTGTGTGACCTCAAGCAGGACATTTACGCTCACAGGACATGGTGAAGATCATGTGATCAAACAAAGTAAGAGGACTCTGTACCCCATAAAACTATCTATAGATCTCAACTGTGACTACAGACATTCCAGGCTTTAATCTCCTTCCATGTAACACTGTTTTCCCTGGATCATAAATTCCTTAAAAGGGCCATGTACTTTGTACAGTAATTCATAGAACTCCTCCTAAGTGCTCGATAGATGTTTTCTATGATGGATAGACTTGGGCCCTGCTCTGGCAAGCACCAGCTTGGAGGCGGCGCCCTATATGTTAATGTGCAACATGGTCAGCTTCTCTGTTTCAGGCGTGTGGAATACAGATATCCAAGCGGCTTACATTTAATCATATAAATGCAAAGTGTGGGTATCTATCTGTGCTGCCTGTCAAATCCCCATCCTCTAAGCAGGTGCATACAGAGACATCTGGGCCACACATGATGGCATAGATGTTTCCACCAGATGTCCCGCGCGGGACCCCGCCCCCTCCAGCCACTGGGTGGGAGCCCAGCACCCACGTGCTGGATGGCTGCCCACCGGCTCTGCCCGTTCTTATCAGGAGTTAGTGGTACCTCTCTCCGAGGTAAACAATCAGGGAGAGGGAAGGGGAAAGCCTTAAATATTTGCTTTCCTTTACAAGACCACCTACAAAATGCTCTGAGAACCTGCAGGGGAAACAATCTGTCCGGATCCCAGGGCCGGCGAATGTAAACACGCGGAACGCTAGGCCGGCGAGGGGCAGCCGGGCCAGATGTTCCCACAGGTTTCCCAGAGCTGGGAGGTGGCGGGGTACGGAGGGGGAGATGGGGTCCTCCCCTAGTTTTCATCCTCTCTTCCTGATCTCTTCTGTTTTCCTTTGTGACCTACCAAAATCAGTTTGGGTTAGAGTTTGAGCACGTGAGTCGGTGAAAAGGCGGCTGTTACGACGCAGCTGGGACCCCTTTCCTTTTTCTGTGAAGGACCCCCACACCAATGTGGGCCCGCGTGGCTGCCGCAGTTCTCGGAGGTCAGGGGTCACAGAGACCCGCGGCCACTCGCCTGAAGCCGCGGTGGGTGCCAAGCAGAGGCAGGAGAAAGGGTCTCAGCCTGCACTTGGGGATCTGTTCACCATGGAGACCCCAGGGCAGAAGACGACTCATCGGAGAATATTTTGGAAAGTGAATCTGTTTTGTTTTAAGTGGCATTTCCCTCTGGCTCCTTGGAGGGGCCTAAAAGAGCAGGGGGCCTAGGAGTTGGTGGGGTGGGGGTGGCGGGCTGCGGCTGGTTGGGAAGTGACTGGTGGGTGGGGCTAATGGGGTGGGGTTGGGTGGGATGAGGCTTGTGGGTGGGGCTGGGTGGGTGGGGCTGAGTGGGAAGAGGCTTGTGGGTAAGATAAGGCTTGTGGGTGGATGGGGCTAATAGGGTGGGGCTGGATGGGATCAGGCTGGTGGGTGGGGCTGATAGGGTGGGGTTAATGGGATGGGGATGTTGAGTGTCCCCAAGGAGATGAGGCAGGTGGATCGGGCTGCAGGGGTTGGATGGGATAAGGCCAGTGGGTGGGGTTGGCGGGGTGGTGGTGGGGCCTCTGTTTGCCTGGCCTGGGGGAAGGAGCAGTCTCTGAGCACATTAAACCCAATGGGGCAGCGCTGAGCGAAGTCCTACCAGAACTTTTTCGGTATTCATAACTCCGCTCTGCCCCTCCTGCCTCAGGTTCGCAAGCCCTGAGACTCTTCCTCAGGCGGCTCCCCAGGTGCCCCATCACCTGGCCCCTCAGGCCCTGAGAAGAGGCAGAGGCACTGCCGCCACTGCTGTGCTCACTGCCCCTGACGCCGCGTGAGATGGGCAGGGAACAAGTGTCATTACCTTTCAACCTCAGTTTCTCAAGCTGTTAAAATATAGATGAAATTAAAAGCATTATGATAAAATTGCCCTTTTAGAGTAAGTTTTAATAACTAAAGACAATGCCTTGAAGCTCTGATCATGGTGTCTGGTTAAGTACTAAGTAGCTGGTGAATGTTACCAAAAAAGAAAAAAATCCAGCAATCAGACAAACCAAACAAAAAAAGCAGTTGCAGATCTCAGAATTTTTAAGAGAAATTGGTCTGAAGTCTTTACCAGCTCACCACCTTCACAGAGCTTTTAGGCATCTGATTGGGCTTTATCCCCAATTCTAAACCCTGGGTTTGTTTTTTAAATTGTCGATAATGATTTAAACATCCTGGAATGTGAGGTCAAGTGGGCCTTAGGAAGCCTCACTACAAACAAAGCTAGTGGAGGTGATGGAATTCCAGTTGAACTATTTCAAATCCTGAAAGATGATGCTGTGAAAGTGCTGCACTAAATATGCCAGCACATTTGGAAAACTCAGCAGTGGCCACAGGACTGGAAAAGGTCAATTTTCATTCCAATCCCAAAGAAAGGCAATCCCAAAGAATGCTCAAAGTACCACACAATTGCAGTCATCTCACACGATGGTAAAGTAATGCTTAAAATTCTCCAAACCAGGCTTCAGCAATATGTGAACCATGGACTTCCAGATGTTCAAGCTGGTTTTAGAAAAGGCAGAGGAACCAGAGATCAAATTGCCAACATCTGCTGGACCATCAAAAAAGCAAGAGAGTTCCAGAAAAAACATCTATTTCTGCTTTATTGACTATGCCAAAGCCTTTGACTGAGTGGATCATGATAAACTGTGGAAAATTCTGAAAGAGATGGGAATACCAGACCACCTGACCTGCCTCTTGAGAAACCTGTATGCAGGTCAGGAAGCAACAGTTAGAACTGGACATGGAACAACAGACTGGTTCCAAATAGGAAAAGGAGTACGTCAAGGCTGTATATTGTCGCCCTGCTTATTTAACTTATATGCAGAGTACATCATGAGAAACGCTGGGCTGGAAGAAGCACAAGCTGGAATCAAGATTGCTGGGAGAAATATCAATAACCTCAGATATGCAGATGACACCATCCTTATGGCAGAAAGTGAAAAAGAACTAAAGAGCCTCTTTATGAAACTGAAAGAGGAGAGTGAAAAAGTTGGCTTAAAGCTCAGCATTCAGAAAACTAAGATCATGGCAACTGGTCCCATCACTTCATGGCAAATAGATGGGCAACAGTGGAAACAGTGTCAGACTTTATTTTTGGGGGCTCCAAAATCACTGCAGGTGGTGATTGCAGCCATGAAATTAAAAGACACTTACTCCTTGGAAAATTATGACCAACCTAGACAGCATATTGAAAAGCAGAGACATTACTTTGCCAACAAAGGTCTGTCTAGTCAAGGCTATGATTTTTCCAGTGGTCATGTATGGATGTGAGAGTTGGACTATAAAGAAAGCTGAGCACTGAGGAATTTATGCTTTTGAACTATGGTGTTGGAGAAGACTCTTGAGAGTCCCTTGGACTGCAAGGAGATCCAACCAGTCCATCCTAAAGGAGATCAGTCCTGGGTGTTCATTGGAAGGACTGATGTTGAAGCTGAAACTCCAATACTTTGGCCACCTGATGTGAGGAGCTGACTCATTTGAAAAGGTCCTGATGCTGGGAAAGATGAGGGCAGGAGGAGAAGGGGACGACAGAGAATGAGATGGTTGGATAGCATCACTGACTCTATGGACATGGGTTTGGGTGGATTCCGGGATTTGGTGATGGACAGGGAGGCCTGGCATGCTGCAGTTCATGGGGCCATGAAGAGTCGGACACGACTGAGCGACTGAACTGACCTGAACTGAACTGAATGATTTAAACTTTGAGGATATGATCAGAACATAGTTCACTGAGCTTCCACGCTCACTTCACTTCCTCCCCCAGCAGGTGACTCACTATCTGGTCCCACCCCTACACCAAAGCCCAGCCAAGTTACCGAGAGAGGCTGAGAGGCTGGCAGACACTGCTGGGCACTCAGCAGGCCTGGAATACAGTCCAGATGCTGCTTCTCCAGGGATGGCTTCACACTGCTGGACTGACATCTGAGCACCCTTGAGCTCAGCCACGGGAAGCTGTGTGCCCACCTTGGGCAGGGAGAGTTCCCATGCCAACCCCCCAGCATTGCTGGGACCCGTCAGTGGATCAGCTGCACCCGATACCAAATAAGCCACTCATTTTGAGCCCAAGCCACCACCTGCCCGCACCTGAGCCTCAGTGTTGGCCTTGGGCTGGCCTCTCTGCTCATCCAGCTGCTCTGCATCTACGTTTTTCATGTAGCCAGAGACACCTCCGTTACTTCTAAAATAAAGTCCAGCCTTCTCAATGCGCCGAAAGTCCCTACAGTCCTCACAGAATTTGCTTTACAGGGCTCCTTTCAGGTATCGTGTTGTTCCCACCTCAGGGCTTTTGGGTACAGGGTTCCTTCCTTCTGGAAGATTCTTCGTTCTCTCCACTCGCCACTTTGTCCCCTGGCAAAGTTAACATCCCTTGATCTTCCAGACTTCAGTTTCATGTAAGGAAGCTTCCCCCAATCTGCCAGACCACATCAGGCCTCAACATGTACTTCCAGTTCTCCTCGTGGACTGTATGACTCTGGGTTGGACTGCATGCCGCATTGTTTGGCTTCTGCCCCAACACAATGCCAGGAGCACAGCAAGGGCCGCGTCCTGCAGCCCAAACCAAGCGCAGCACGCAGCAGGGCAGTGCTGCAGCCTTCAAGGAAGACTGCTTACCAGAGCAGGTTACTAGCGGCAGATCTTGATGGAGAACACGCAGCGTCCTCAGACCTCACCTCCTCAGCTGCAACAGGACTGAAGATGAAGGTCACCTGTCTGTCACGCTGTGAAGCTAAGAGAGGTAATAGTTGAAAGCACTTATGGCCGAGTCCTATTCCACTGTGTACACACACACACACACACACACACACACACACACACATATATGTGCCACATCTTCTTTATCTAATTGCCTGTCAGTGGACACTTAGAGTGCTTCCATATCTTGGCTATTGTAAATAAATTTTGCCATTTGTAACAATATGGATGTACTTGAAGGATATTATGCTAAGTGAAATGTCAGAGGAAGACAAGTACTATATGATATCACTTATATGTGGAATCTAAAAAGATAAAACAAACTAGTGAATATACCAAAGCAGAAACAGACACAGATATAGAGAACAAACTAGGGGCTACCAGCAGGGAGAGGGAAAGGGGAAGAGCTTAAGAGGTGCAAACTACTACGTATAAAGCTTATATTTTTTATATAAGCTACAAGGATGTAATGTACAGCAGAAGGAATATAACCAATGTTTTATAATAACTATAAATGGACTATAACCTTTAAAAATTGTGAATTGCTATGTGGTGTGCCTGAAACTTACATAATACGGTACATTCAACTATACCACAATTTTAAAAACTTAAAACATTAAAGTTTAACCAAAAATAAAAGTTTAAAGCATTGAAAATAATGCCTGAAATATACCAAGCACTTCATCATTATTGGCTATGATGATGACAATTAGATTGTCAATGGATTAAAGACCTTCTTGTAAACAGTGAAGCTATGAAGGTAATAAGGAATTTATAAAGTTGTATGTAAATATAGCTTTGTTACACAGCAATGAGGAAAAATTTCTGAAATAAAACTTATAAGTATAAACTTCTGAAATAAAACTTAAAAGTACAAACCATAAGGCAAAAAGGAAATTAATTTAATTACATGAAAATTAAAATTTCTGTGTACAAAGGACATCACATGTGAAGTTAAGAAATGAATGATATATAGAAAGAGAATTTTTCTACCATCTAAAACTGATGAAGCATGAATATCTAGAGCATGCAAAAGTCCCTATAAGTTTGAATAAACAAAAAGAGACAGGAACCCAAAATGCAAGTAATGTACAGAAAACACCAAACTATAACCAGCACATTTTAAGTGTTCAGACACACACACAGTGATGTGTGTCCACTGCACACCGGTCATCACACAGGTGGGCAGGTTAAGAAGGTGGATGCATCCGGTGTGCAGTGAGGGTGAAGGTCCCTGCTGAACAGGGGGGTGGGGAGGACCAGGGAAAGGAAAGACTCCCGCAGTGCCCGTCGTGGACCCAGGAGACAGGACCTTAGAATCAGCGCAGATGAGTAGCACCCTGAGCCATGGGGATGCAGAGTGAAAGGCAAGAAATGCTTGAGCTCTCCATCAGGACACGATGATACCAGCTGTAAGTGCATTAGAACTGAAAGACACGTATTTCATAAGCTGCGTGCAAAGGAAGTGTGGCTACCTGCCCTGAGCAAGGAAGGCATGGAATAGAAAGTGGAGATGAAGACGAGGTCTCAGGGGAAGGCAAACCACTCAATCCTCCACCCCTGGGTTAGAAGGAAAACAAGAGAAGGTGGGGAAGGTTTATTGAACAAATAGACAGTCCATAGAAGTTACTTTGGACAACAGTAAGTACCCCCTCCTCCCAAAGCTGTGGTCCTGCCTGCGTGGATGTGGCCTTGTCACCAGGACCTCCTGCATCTCCAATACTAGTGCTCATGCCCCAGCCCAGGTGAGACTCCTAGCATTCCTCTCCACCCTCTCCCCATGACTACCAAATCCAGGCAGTGCTGTAGAGGCAGGCCTGGGCTCCTCGGTTGGCCAGAGCAGGCTCTCCTGGGCCCTGGCAACAGCTCATCAGCCAGGACCCCTCTCCTCCTCCACCAGGCCTTTTGCATCATTGCAAGTGCAGTTTCCATACATCTACTCTCATGCCTTAAACCTCTCCTTGTCTCCTGAGTTGAATTAAAATCCTCAGCAGACCATGCGTCTCAGTCTCCATCTGCTGAAGCTGCTGTAACAAAATACCTCAGGCGGGGGCCTAGCAACTGACACAGTTCTGTAGGCTGGAAGTTCAAGGTCAAG